TTTTTTATCCCTTTATTTACCAGTGTCCGCTGATGATTAGCGTACCTGTGCTCTACCTTCACTACTACATGTGAACATTTCAACAGGCTCCCACTGCTTTTTTGTCTTGTCCACATCCAGGCGGCACTTCCAACCAACGTTTTCCAACTGCAAGAAAAAATAATAATATAGTTGCTGTAATATAGTTTTATCTAATGTAACTTTTGTCTTGAGGTTTAGAAATATTAAGAGAATGTATTCTGTAAGAACACTTTTTGTGGGTTGATTCACAGTTAAAATATTAATGAATTTAGTCATTTATATTTGCTGCATAAGTAGAAAAACCTAGCACTGGAAATTGAACAAAAAATGCACACTTGTATGTTTTACAGATACAAACTGTCACATCCCACTGAAGATGATCAGATGTTGATGAAGTAGTTTACCTGTCCGTGCCTGACTGGAACGATATCAGGCACGTAGGCCTCTGGATAAATGTTGTTCAGGTACCAAGAAAAGTTCTTGCACTTTAATCTCTCCCTGAGTTTACGGCGTTCAGTAACATCTCCAAATAAATTCTGAGGGGACACAAAAGAAAAGCAACGTGTGGTGAGGTAGGACACGAGGTATCATAAATGTAATGCCACTAACTTCCTGGGTTGTACTGTACATTTTTACTAACCTCTTTAAAAATGGAAGCAGCCTTTCTGTTTGTACGATAGAAGACCCATTTGTAGTCATCCATCCAGACCTCAGCCAGGCGGACCAGGTTGCGAGTGATCACAGTGCTGCCTCCGGGGTAGGTGTGGGGGCTTTTTTTGCGGAAAATATGCCCCACAACAGAACAAGGAATAATCTCCAGCTGACCTCCGCATTGCCAGACCTGCAGTAGAGTGAACGCAGAGCACGAGGTAAGACTGGAGCTGCTTTTGTAAAGCATATTTATACAAAAAAACACTGAAAACCTTCTTACCCTGAAGGACATTTCCAAATTCTCACCTCCCCAGAACTCCATCTGGTCATCATAAGTCCCAATATGCTCAAAGTATGACTTAGATACAGAGAACAGGCCACCAGCAAAGGTCGGAGTTCTACAAAATCAGACATAAATCAGTTTAGTTTAATTTAAATGAACACCTACTCTTATTGCTTTCTTGCCAGGACCTAAATGAGAAAATCGACACCACTCTCACGTCTGCACAGTAAACACCTACCTGATAGGAAAAGTCTCATTCTTCCTTCTCTTCTTCTCCTCTTTTGGGACGCCCTCCCATCCAAACTTTAGCCTCCAGTCAAAATTCCCTCGATTGCAATAATGCTGTTTAGAGACTGGCTTACTGAACTTTAGGTTATCTTGGTCAATGATGGCGATTTTTGGGCTCACCACAGCGGAAGGCTGCTCTTCTATCCGAGCTAGAAGAGGCTCCAGCCATCCGGGGAAGCATTCACCTACACGGGAACATAACATGTGTCAATCAGGGGTGCAGCTAGGAAGTTATTGGTTGAATGTGGTGAGGCTCCTCTATTGTTCTTTACTTGTTCCCTTTTCACCATATACTTCTACTGTATGCCTAACAGCCATAAAAACACACCACCAGATACTAATTTTAGGCACTACATTCTTTATTTTAATCAACAGACACGTGTTTAAAACAACCGGCTGAATCCTGCATAAAAACGATGGCGAGCATTGCATTATGGGATACATACAGTGGGAATCCAGGAAGGTGAGGACCTCTCCTTGTGCGGCCTGCACTCCCAATAGTCTGGCTGTGATCAAGCCTTTCCTCTCCCTCTGTCGTAGCACACGGACTATATTCAGCTGCCGCACATAGTTATCAAGGCGAGTCTTAAGGTGATCTAAAGAAAGAGGATACAATGAGTAAATTCGGGGAATTCAAACTTTACTGATATTAATTATCTTATTTCAATCTCTAGCTGATCACAGATATTCATGGTAATATAAATTTAAAGCAAGCTGTGAACACGAACACTGAATATTATTCAGAAGTTTCAGGCTGGAAAGCAAAATAATGCCTTTTTATTACCTAACACTAGACAACGAGACCAATCAGCGACTGGCTATTTCTGTGTAGTTAGTTTCTGTATACTAGGTCATGTTCTCCTTGAACAAGGGGTGGAAACGGAAAATGAAAGCTTGTAGCTGCTTTAAGTTAATATTATTAATGTTTTTAGCTTATTGCTAAATGCTTCACTGTGTTAGTTGTTAACTGTGTCTGTGTCGTTTGGCGCTGGCTGGGTAGCTTACAGTGCTTTGGGTTTTTTTAGAGCTTTTTAGCTGAAATAGGTTGGCCTGCTGCAACTGGCATAGGACTTATTATTTTAGGAGCTGTTAAGAGTGAAACAAAAGTTTTACTAAAAAGCCGAGGCCAAACAAGGAAACCTTAAATTGAATTTTATCGCGATCGATTACTGGTGACCCCTGTGGACAATTAGTCGGTACTGCGTTCTACCACCGTTGTGTGTTTCATTGATTTCCAAGGGGAACCTGATCAAATCCGATCCTGTTAGGCAGGCATTTAATAAAAAACTATACTAAAGCTCATGGTTTTGTCTTGCTTATTGTAGGTACACAAAGAGGCATCGGTATTTAAAAATTTAGACTGTTTTCGTATAACCAGCTCCCTGCATTGTATTTTAGGTTTTAAGATTGTTTTTTTTTGCAATCTAGTGCTGTACAACATGGCAATTCGAAGTCTATATCGGCTCAAATGTCCACTTTTGGATCCCTCTGACAGTTGCTTGGCACTGTGGAGATAATCATCATCTGTGCTGGCATCATGGCCACCAGGTTAAAATCTCTGCTGGCAGGGCTGCAGGGAGCTGATGGTGTAAGATCACGTAAGTACGGTCCTTCAACAGAGTTGGACCAGGCCTCATATGAAATACACGTATGGATGCACACTGGTCTAGTAGGGAGCCAGGGACAATCTGCGAAACCTCTGTTTCCAAGCAGCTGTCAGGGAGGCGAAACTGAAAAGTTAACAGGTTATATTTAAACCAACTGTGCTTTTCCGCTAGGAAATTGAATGTCCAATGGGTGGTCCTCTTGTGAGATAATGAAAACAATGGTATACTCACTTCGTTTTTGTGTCGTGTTCCTTGGGCCCAGATCACCGGTTTGCAGGGTATGTTGTGTTTTTTTGATTCATGGGGCAAACTGGTTAACTTGGTATTTATTCTCTCTTCTCTCTCTTTCGTCACAATTTCTTCTTTTTTGTCTTCAGAGTCATTCGGGTGCGACACACAAGGGTTTTACCACGCGTCCTTTGGTGCCCTTGGTTCTTGGGGAGAGGCCCTCCGAAGGTTGGAGGCTTAAGCTCCTCTGCATTGTTAAAAGCCAGGTTGGGACATTGGGGAGTCTTGGCGAACAGGATAAAACCAGGGGTGGATCTCTGGGAGTCTCACCAACACCTGCCCAAGGAGGTTATGGGTGGAGGTTGCCAAGAAAGCTGTGTTGGTGTTTGTTGGGATGTGGGTACATTATGGATGAGCAGCAAGCAGAAGGCAGAAAAAAGCTGCGCTAACTTACTGAAGGTGGAGACGACAGGCAAAATACTGGGCTACGCATGGTATGCAGCAGGAAGGGACGCACCTGAAACAAAAACTGGAATAGAAGAATCACATAAAAAAAGACATATTATGAAAGCATGCTTATATAAAGATTTATAAAGGCAGATTCATCAAAAATGTTTACTATAACCAGAACGTTCGTTACATCTTTTTCTTCTATTCTAACTTCTTATGTTAAGTAAACATTGTTATTCAAAATGGGAGACAAAATGAAAACTACCAAGTATACTTGGTTGATTCAAAGGTTTTAGGCAAAGATAGCTAAAAGACGGATGTTGTGTTTCTAAAAATCTACAAATAAAAAAAAACTTTATATATTGAAAATTACTTGTAAAATGGGCAGAAAATACTCGCTGTATTTTTGTGTAAGCAGGCCTACTGTACAGTGCGGATACCAACAATCAAATATAGGTTGTAAAGATGAACAAGACTTCTTCTGCATACAGGCTTTATAGAACAAGCGTGATACAGGCACTAAACTTCAAAAAAGCTTTCACTACTTTAAGCCTGCAGCATCAGCAAGTCACTAACATTTTGGGGTGTCCACCCACTATTTCCTCTTGCTTCACAGTTTTCTTTCATCATTGGGAAGGAAACTCAGCTCATGGTGTTTTCAAAATAGGTGATAACCATTGTTTTGCGTGGCACATGTCATCAACAAAAACCTAAACTGCTCAAAACCAGGTCTAATTTTAGCCTGTTGAGCTCAACGTACTGTGGCCTGGCTTTTGCACCACTGTACAACATCATATTAAAAGTAGCCCTTTTGTTACATAAAGGGGAACTTGTGGTGCAGCAGTTTGCAAGTTGCAAAATGCAGAAAAACAGTGAAAATATACAGAGCACATTACTAAACGAAAATGGGGGGGGCGGCGGTAGGCTCAGTCTGTAGGACTTGGCTTTGAGAACCGGAGGGTTTTGCCGGTTCAAGTGCCCACAGGACTCCAAAAGATACTTGGAGTGGTGGACTGGTAGCTGGAGAGTGCCAAGTTTTCACCTTCCTGTGCCAACTGCCGGAGGTGCCCTTTGAGCAAGGCCAGCCTTAACCGAAACCTGCTTGATGATGGCGCTGGTAACGTCGCAGGCCCACTTCACTTCCACCATCTCTCCCTTTGCGGAGTGCCGAAGCATGTGCATGAAAGTGTGTATTTCAGCCTGTGTGTGTACTAAAAAGCGCGAATGTGTAAACGAGTATATTCTTCTCTTCTAAACCAAAGTACGTAGCTGCTATGAAATGAGTTTATCAGGATTAATTTTTGCATAGCTCATCTACCTGTGAAGCTTTCGTAAACAACAGGGTAAGGTGTTAATTGTTATACAACAAATGCTGTGTGTTTATGGGCTATATCTCCTCAAAATAAGGCTATGCAAGTTTACCAATATAGTAAGATCGCACGAGTCGCATGGTACAGTATAAGTGCAGGCCAGGTTAGTGACTTGTGCTACAATATGGATCATGGCTCACTTGAAGTTAAGATAAGATGACTACGAATTGTGGTTAAGAATTCTGAAGAGATGACAGCATTCATTGATTTCCCATGCATC